CGCCGCGCGCGCCGGCAGCGCGTGGGTGTCTAAAGCGATATCGCATCGCCGGAAAACCTCCAAATCGTGAGCCAAGACTCCTACCCTAGGTAATACACCCAATTTGGAGTCACTTTTGTTCTTGGACATACCCCAAAAACTGACCGGAAGTGGCCGGAATCTCGAACCTAAAACCGGCCGAAACCCAATTCGTAAATCGGGTTACCTACGCTACAAATTGATCAATTCCTACCCAACCATCAGCTAGATCATGAAAAATAGGTAGGAATCCATACCTCAATCACCCGAAACGGTGGCCGGAGGAGGGAGATCGAGCCGGCGAAGGTTCGGGCGGAAAACGGCCAAAAACCTGCAGGTTCCGGCGGCCGGGGGGGCTGGCGGCGCGCCACGGCTGGGGTAGGAAGGGGACGGCGGCCCGGTCATGTTGGTACCGGCCCCGTCGACTTTGGTGGCCGAACGAGAGCACGGCCGGCCAAAACGTGGCCGGCTGTTCCAGCCGTCGCGAAAACCAGAGAGAGGGAGAGGGAATATTTACGATTATGCCACTGAGCTTCTTTTGATCATATCTCTCTCGTTACAACTCCGATTCGAGCCCACTACGTGTCTACGGACTCATCTCACCGTGCTCTACGCAATGGTACAACCGGAATTCCCAAATTCCTTAAGGATAAGAAAATGACTAAAATACCCCTATCCCATGGGTAATTTCTCAATTCCACTTAAATAAATTAAAACATGGGATAAATTTGGGGTCGGGGTGTTACATATTTTTTATTATTTTTTTTAAAAAAAATAGTGAGCTATAGATAACCAAAAAGTTCTAGATTTGGATGAATTTTCTTTTGGGGTATACCTTTGAAAGAGGAACATTGTTGAATGATTCCAACAATGAGATCCATTTTTCCTACTCATCAAAAGGGATCTTTGTAAGGAGAGAATATACATGCATATACATATATAGAATGACCTTATTTTGGGAAAAATGCACACCTATTTTATTTAGGTCTACTTAACGATGTAGTTCAGTGATCAGAATCGTCAATGCAAAAAAAATAAAAAAACAATCATAGTTTGTTAGATAAAACTGAAACGTAAGAACATCATTAATGTTCATAATACAACATATATGTATGTAATAGATGATATATATGAACTTGTAAAATCATGTTGCGGTCTAAAAACGTGTTCAATTAGCAATTTTAGTGTAGTGAAAAATAGAGACAAATGGAAGGAGGAAGAGGTAGGTATACAGTGAAGAAGCCATAGTTGAGGCAAGCTTGATTGAGGTCACTGACAGCTTGAGAGCTTTTGAGAGAATCATTGGAGATGAGCATGGAGTAGTCAATGACTGGAGTTTGAACATAACATGACTCATGGCCAAAACAAGTTTGAGTAAGCAGTTGTGGAGTTGCTTCAGTTCCAGTCATTGTGTGTGTTGCGAGAAAAGGAGAGAGAGAGAGAGAGAGAGAGAGAGAGAGAGAGAGAGAGAGAGAAAGCTTAAATGCATGCAAATATCAGAACCCAAAGCCACCATATTTATAGCCAGAAACACTCCAGCCACACTTGCCCTCCACTCGTGTCATCACATCCTTACCAGCGCGTCACCCACTTACACTTCCACTTTCTTAATTTCTGCTAATTTTCTCCCTTTTGTTTTTCTTCATATGTCTCACATATATATCGCTCAAGCTTTCGTTTGCTTCACTATTTTATGCATTTCTTATAGTTCGTATTAACCACCAACATCAAGAAATTTTAATATCTGTTTCTTCTTATAAAAAAATAAAATAAAATTGGGATTTGCTGTTTTATTTATATATATTGTTTTGTGTTTTATTTTCTATTCTTTAAAAAAAAAATATTAATAGTAAAAGTAAAATTTTGGTGGATTCAACAGTGTAGTTGCTGTGAATTGTTACTATAGATAGAAAAGTGTAAATGAAGTGAGGATAGGAAACTAGAGTGGATTGACTATGATTAGCTATGCACTCTTATTACAACATGCTTAACAACTAATAGAAACATGACAAGTGGCAAAAAATATCTATAAGATTGGTTCGGTTTTAAATCAAACAAAAATTCAATTTAATTAAGTTGGATTATATCGAAATTAGCATCTAATCCAATCGAATTCAAAATCCAATTAAAATTGGATTGGGTTGATTGATTTAAATAGTTGGGATAAGATTTTGCACATCCCTAAAATTGTGGATTAGTTCATGACTATGGAACGATATAAACATGTACGAATGAAAACTATAACAATTTACTTGTGCTACGGATTCTACTCACAGCACAGCATGTATATGCTTAATGATTTTGTACCTTTTGTTTCTGAAATGCGCGTCATTACTTATATTTTAATGAAATGAACAAATTAGACAACTGATTTTGTGTAATCTATTAAGAACTTTTTGAGTTTTGAACTAATTTCATAGCATAAACAAGAACATTAAGTACAATAGCTGGCCAACCCTCTCGTACCACCAACCTTTCTCTAGTAGTAGCTAGTCCATACCCCAGCCCATCACCCTCCTCCTACTGCTAATCCATACCCACTCTATCTTATAATTTATGTACCTCGGTCCTGTAATGCCCACTTAATTGCCAAGTACTCCTGAAGTTGTGAGTTTTGGTTTACTTTTCTTTTGTTTATACGTAATATAAGTATAATTTACCTACTTGTTTGCACGTATAAATTAAATCACCTGCTAGTAGTCCTCCTAGTTATTGCTAGTTATTCCATATATAAAATACAAGGGTTAATTTCGATTTAGTATCCTGAACTTTTATCATAAGGCACGTTTGCCATTGCGCTCTCAATTTTAAAAATTACATATCCTAAAATTTTCAATTTTTTGCAATCTGGTTCCGGCGTTAACTTTGACATCAAAATTTCCGTTAATTGCTTGCATGATAGGCATGAGTCTCATCTATTTGCTTATTTCGATGTTAGTTGAAGAGTATTTTCGAATAATTGGTGTTTTCCCACCCATGAATAACACATTACACCCATTAATACCAAACCAATTTTTAACAAATTACTCTTCAACTGACATTGAAATAAATGAATAGGTGGGATCTAGGCTTGTCACGCAAGTAATTAACGACAATTTTGACGATGAAGTTAATGCTAGAACCAGAATGCACAAAATTGAAAAGCTTAAGGTATGTAATCGTTAAAATTAAGAGTATAGGGACGAACATACCTTAAAGGTAAGAGTTCAGAATATTAAATTGAAATTAACTCAAAATACAATTTGAGTGCGGCCCACAGTATATTAATATATACTTAGATATTAACGTACCAATTCCTTAGTCGTACAACATTAATTTAGTCTCAAAATATAGGTAAACTGCTAACTAATTTAGGGCTCGTTTGGGAGTGCTTCTTTCCGAAGCACTTATGCCAGTAGCGTTTATGCCAGTAGCGCTTATGACATAAGCGCTTCTACAAAGAAGCATTTTGTTGTTTGGATGTCACATTTAAAAGTGCTTTTACACTACATAAAAGCGCTTTTGATATTTTGTTGAGTGTTTGGTTGACACAGTAAAAGTGCTTTTAAAAGCACTTTACAAAAATTTAAAGAATCCCAAAATATTATAATAAATATAGGAAATAAAAATTCACAGGATCTCAAAATAAAAACACGACTTAAAAAAGTATGAATTTCACCAAGTATAATTTTTAATCATTTTTTGAAAATGAAAAAAGAATTAACCAGACATAAGAAGATTTGCAATTCTCTCACGTTCGTCAGCCATCTCATGCCCATGGGTTAGATTTTGTTCTTCAACCATCTCTTCCCCTATAGTAACTCCCGCCCCGCCAGAGGGAAGTAGCTCATCATCATCATCATAC